GGCAGTATGATGTCCAAACTGAACAAACAGGACACAAAAGAAGGCCACTGCCAAACTTTGCCAAGACAATGTAGAACAGTCCTTCAAAAATTTCTACTTCTGCTGGGTGTGGCACATGTTTTTAATCCCAGCACTTGGGAGGCAGAGGCAGGCAAATCTCTGTGAGTTCGAGGCCAGCTTGACCTACAGAGTGAGTTTCAGGGCAGCTAGGGCTGTTACACGAGAAACCCTGTCTTGGCCAAAGATGGATGCCCCAACAGTGCAGAAGGACCTTAGTGACTGTCCAGGCAGCTAGCTGTTTCTGTCATTTCTATAGTTTTGGAAGTTGTTTGCTCTGCACTTCTGTTTACTTAGGTAATACTATATCCTTCTCAGTTCTCTGATGGAGTTGAAGATGAGATTGTTATAGTTACAGTTTTTCTTGTTACCAGAAAAAAATTTACATAAGAGATATAAAATTTATAAGGTTGAAAAACATAAAAGCTTAAGTTGTTTATTCAAGATGTTTGAAGGTCTAAAAGGATAATTTTAGAATGGTAATACAAATTATGATAGAAAGTGGTTTAGGTATAAAACTTTGGACTTACTGTTAGGATAGATAACAGAGTACTTTCTCTGACCTTCCCAAATACATATGGACTGGATATTGTAAATATAATTCTTACCTGATAATTGTTTTCATTGTATGTAGTCTTACTATGCTAGAGTTAAAACCCTTTCCTTTTTATTTAGACAAAAAGGGGGAAATGCATCAGGTAATGGTAGCACGCGCCTTTAATCCCAGCACTCAGGAGGCAAAGGCAGGTGGATCTCTGTGAGTTCAAGGCCAGCCTGATCTAGGGAGTGAGTTTCTGGACAGGCTCCAAAGCTGCAGAGAAACCCTGTCTTGAAAAAAAAAAGGCGGGGGGGGGGGGGAATAATGTTGTGGGATATTTGTACACTGTGTGAAGGTGTATTGCTGAGATTGGTGTAATAAAAGGCTAAAGGGCCAATAGCTAGGCAGGAGGTATAGGCAAGATTTCCTGGGAGTGAATGGAAGTAGATGAATCTAAGTACACAAGAGACGCCAGGAGATATAGAAGCAGCAGGATGGGCAGTATATGACAGAACATTGATGAACAGAAATGGGTTAATTTAAATTATAAGTACAGGTTAAAAGCAAGCCTAAGCTAAGGCCAAGCTTTCATAATTAATAGTCTTCTTGTTGTTATTTGGGAGCTGGCTGGCAGGACAGAGACTCATTACAATCTAGCATCAAGCAGTGAACACTGCTACAGTTTGTACAAACTGGAGTTAGTTGCTATCTCCTTAAATGAAAGGCAGTCCTTTCTGAAGCAATGAGGTGCGTGTATGTATGCGCATTACTCCTGGATCCAATCACACTACTGAAGGTAGTTACCACTACCCCAGTGCGGGACAGGATGTCCTTTCAGGGTGTTGTCATTTATGTACCTTCTGGGGTCTGCAAGAGGGTGTCCTGTCTGAGAGGAGTCTGAGGGCCATGACTCCTGACTCCAGAAAACAGCACTAGAATGCTCTTGAAGGGCTAGACCCACATATCCAGGCAATCCCTTTGGCTGGCCTTTTGTTACAGTTTGGATAAGAAATGCCCCCCAAAGAATCCTATGTTGAAGGTTCAATCGCTTCATGAACTGGTGATGTCCTAGTGGAGTGGGCTGTTAACAGAAGAGGTGTGGCTGCAGGAAGCAGTCACAGGAGCGTGATTTTCAAGGGTACGGTTGTCCCCTCCACAGCTGAGCAGGTCTGCCACCAGGCCCTACACCTTGCCACTGAAAGCAGTGAAGACAGCTGACCCCAGACAGAACCCCCTGAAATGGTGAGTTCGCCGACATCTCCCCTCCTCCCTTAGGTGGTTTCTGTCAAACACAACTGACAGCTTTGTGATCAAGAGGCAGCACTGAGGATCACAGCTACCTCAGGGCCTTCCTGCTGTTCCCAGGGCAGAGGAGACAGAGCTAGCCTTTGCTGCAGTGTGAGCACAGCCCCTTGCAAGGATGCGGAAAAGCTCTAACTCCTGTTGTCTAGCTATTGTCACACACTGGTCTCTCTTCTGCCCTGCCATTCCCCAAATCCTCTCACTTTCTGGACCTGTGATTTGTATGGTGCAGCTGCCAAAGGGCTGCGCCTTTCTAAGAGAAAGTCTCTGTGTGTGTCTGAGTTGTGTACCTTGCCTGCAGGGGTGGAGGAATGTGTGTGCGTGCGTGCGAGTGTGTGTGTGTGTGTGTGCGCGCGCGCGTGTGTGCGTGTACACATGAGCGTGCACTTCTGTGAATGTACTAGTAAATAGTCAATGGCCTCCTCTCATCACTCCTACCTTGCTTTCTGGTCAGGAAAGCTCGTGACAGATGAGCCACCTCACTGAACCTGGGTCTCACCGTTTCAGCTAGACTGGCTGGCCAGCAAGCTCCTGCCATCCTTCATCCCTCTCTCCCAGAGTGTGCCTTACTTCCCGTGGTTCTGGGAACCCAAACTCAGACCCTCATGCTCCCACAGCAAGTGCTTTACCAACAGAGTCGTCTCTCCAGCCCTGTCAGGAAATCGTGACGCACATTTCAGAAGAGAGATGGTGGCAGAAACCTGAGGTTAGGAACAAACAGCGCAAAATATGGCTTTCGCACAGCAACTAGAGGGACAGCCAGGCATGCACTGTGTGCAGAGGCATTTCAGTCTTTATTTCAACCTGAGCTGTTATGAGACTCTGGGGATACCACCAGAGGTGGCCCACAAAGAGCCCTAGGTAGTCATGTGGCTAGAAGCCAATAAGGGTAAGAAAAACCCAGCATGAACAAGCGGCACAATGCCAGCATCTAAGAGTGGCCAAGAACAAGGACGAACAGGACCATGGGACAGAGGTGGCCTGCTCTAGCATTTCTCTTGTCTGTTCCTCAAGATGTTGTGCCCTTGGTGAAGGGGTGATGGAACTATCTGGATGCTTCCCGAATACTTTGTGGAAGTTGTCTTTCAGCTCCATAATGGTATCTGGAATGCTCTCAAGTGTAGCAGCCACTTTACAGCAACCCAAGAAACAGCCCTGAGCATCCATCTTCAGCACCCACCTGCTCCAGGGAAGAGGAAGGAAGAAGAATCAATGGATGCAGAAAAATCTCCAGTCTCAGGGGCTTGGCAGGGACTCAGGTCTGCTCTTACAAGCCACAAGCAAGAAAAATGCTCTGGTGGCCATTGATGGGTCCTCCAGGCCCACTCTGAATCCTCCCTGGGCAAGAGGGTTATGCCAATGTCCGGGGCCCATTAAAGGAGGAGGGTTGAAAGGCATGCCTCACAGAGAGACCATGTGGCACATCAACTCCCCTCTTCCAATTTGGGTCTTTACTGTCCCTGGCAAAACTGAAGTTTGTGTGCACAGATGATTGGAGACGAGTTTACAGGCACAGTCTGGAGGCCTCTGGGGAGAGCAGAGCTGCATATATCCTGGGAGGGAGTCTCCAGTGTATTCCCAATCTCCCAGGTGGCTCTGTGTGTCACAAGTGGCTTCTTGATCCCCTCCACCACCAGGCTCTTCTGGCATGCTTTGCTTTTCCCGAGTGTAATTCGAAATCCCCCCACTCATCCAAGACACTGTAGGGTGTGTTAGAAAGCAGCAAGAGGCTTATTACACCCGATATGGAGCGCTGCACTCCAGAAGGGAAAGGGGCAGAAGCGTGGCAGGCTGGCACATGCGTGGGGTATTTATAGCAGAGCCAAGTGTGGCTGGGTTTGGCAGACAATTACTAAACACAGTCGTGGAACAGGTTCTTAAGAAATCACCCGCTTTCTGCTTTCTTGCGGAGGAACATCCGGAAACTAAAGAAAGGGTCCCAGCTCTGCCTGGGTGGAGGGACTGTGCCGGATGCGGGGTGGGGATATCTCAAAGAGTTCTCAAGGGAGTTGGGATGTGCTGTGAGTTGGAGAACAATGTAACACACAACACTTTTATAGCCTCTATCTGGTCATCACCCTCCCAACAACAGTCACTGATAGTGTGTGTGGCTCTGTCCCTAGAGGGCAGGGATGTGCTCACACAATTAGTTTCACTGTCCACCACCAGCACCATGCCCAGCACAGGCACAAAATGGACTCATGCAAAATAGAACTAGTGGAAACTGTATGCAAAATAGTGCTTGGTGCTGGGGATATAGCTCAGCTGGTCGTCTGTCTAGCTGGTAGGAGGCCCTAGGCAGAGGGAGTTTTCCTTTCTTCTTTGTCTTTTTTTTTTTCTACAATGAAGTTTATTTTAGATACAAATGGTATTTTTGAGACAGTCATACTGTGTAGCTCTGTCTGGTCTAGACTTCCTCATGTAGATCAGACTGACCTTGAACTCACAAAAATCTGCCTGTCTCTGCAGCCTGGGACTAAAGGATATTCAAGGGTTTTCCATTTTACAACAGACACACTGGTGTGGACCTGTAATCCCAGCACTCTAGGCAGAGACAGGAAAGCAGCCTCGAGTTCAAGGCCAGCCTTGTACACGTAGAAAATTCTAGGCCAGCTAGGGCTGTAGAGCAAGACCATCTTTAAAAGCAATGTTCGGGGGTGTAGCTCAGTTGGCACAATGCTTGGCTAGCATTCAGGAAGCCCTGGGCTTAATCTCCTGCACTACACAGAGCGTGAGGCCTGCCTAAAAGGTATGAATCCTACCTCAAACACCCAAACACACACCGCTCCCAGTCCAATAATGACAGAAAGCTGGGATCGGCTGGCCAGGAGCCGCTATATATGTTAGTCAAACAGATCTGAAAAGAGACTGGGGTCTGTCAGGGGGAGGCATGAACTGGACTGAGAAGTCTGGGATCCACCAGTGGAGGGGAGCAGGGTCTGGTTGTCTAGGTACCACTGAGCTCTAAGCCCAGAAGGCCACAGTGTTTGCTGACTGACACTGGCTCCCAACAGGCAGTCTGGGTGCAGCAGCTCCTCTCCTTTAGGCTAGAGTCGCTGGAAAACCGGAGAGAAGGCGGCAGTGCCGAAGGAGAGCTACACACCTCGTGTGGTGCTGGTAGGGCCCCCGTGGATACAGGGCAGAGTTGAAGGCTCCCAAGCTGTGAAACACTTGCTTGACCTCTTGCAGCGAGGGACACCACAAATGCATGTCTTCATCTGTGGAGACAAAGGAGGCAGAGTTAAGACTGGGGAGAAGAGGGTGGGTAACACTTCCCCTGCCGCAGTCCCCAGCTCCAGCCCACTAGTTTCTCCACATCTTGGTGGCGGGAACATTGGCCGCACAAGTGAAGCAACAGGTGCTTTGTGTTTTTCAGGTACTCATGGGGTTACAGGAGCTCATCTGGTCTTCCTCCAGGTACATGCTGCATGGAAGCACACAGGCCAGAGGCTGGCCATGCCTGACCGTCTGTTCACACCGTGTGTATGGGCTGCATGGAAGCACACAGACCAGAGGCTGGCCATGCCTGACCGTCCGTTCACACCAGGTGGCAGCTGGGCTCAGCTCCTCATAGCCAAGTGAGACACAGCTGCAGCATCCCCTGCTCCCTGCCACAAACGACTGATGTGATTTTGTGCCCATGGCTGCTCTGTCCGTACAGTTGCTGACACCTCTGTGGGCTTCCTGGGCCATGGTCCCGGCCAGGAGCACGGCTTGCCTCCCTTTCAGGCCACATCAACAAAGGGTAAAAAACACCCAACTGTATCCTTAGGGTTTTTTCCCTGTCAGACCATTTAAGGACATTGTTCAAAAAACAACAATAAAAAAGGATGATTGGCCGGTGCTGCAGGGCAGTCACCCAGCCCACAGGCCTTTCCGTTGGCCCCTCACACCCTCACTGGGAGGCTTAGGTTCTGTCTCTGACCTGTTAGCATTTCTCTGTATTATCTTATCTTTAGTTTACTTGCTTCTGGTCGGCCTCTCCTCAAAGTGTACACAAATTACAGGAACGCTAGTTCATTTCTGTAATCCTAGCACTTGAGAGTAGGAGGCAGGAGGATTGTTGTAACTCTAAAGTCAATCTTGGCTACAGAAATGAGGCCATCTTTCAAAAATAAAAACAAATAAAAATAGAACTACTGCAGAGGAAGGGCCATTTCTGCGTATATTTCCAAGGCCTAGGAGCAGCCAGACTGGAAGAAACTGAATGAATGAATGAACGAACGAACAGAGACTCCACACAGTGTGACTAAGCAGTTCACAGGTACAACGGAAGCCGTGAACAGTCACAAGGTGAGGAGGCAGTGGAAAGCCACAGGTGTTCTCGGATGTTGAATCAAGACCTTGGAGGCTGGGCGAAGACATTTGAGTAGCGTGGAGGGGGGGAGGGTGAGTGTCCCACCCTGAGGTGGAAAGTAACCCAGGCGAGGCTTCATCCTCTGTCCTCTGGGAGCACTCGTCCAAGAGGGAGAGAAGCCAGGTAGATAAGCAAAGGCCCAGGGTGTCCCTGCAGAAATCCGAGGCAGGTAAAAGGTACAGAGCAGGACCAGGGGTGCCGGTGTGCGCCTGTGCCTGCAGACTGCACTCGGAGGCAGAGGCAGGATGATCACTCAAGTTTCCAGCCTGGTCTGGTCGACGAACAAGACTGTCTTAAATAGACAGAATCAGAGCAGGCTCCACAGCTAAAATGTCTGCGGTTAAGTCTGACAGCCTGAGTTTGATCCCCAAGACCCACTTAGTGGGAGGAGAGTCACTGTGCACTCCACACCTGAGCCATGACGAGCATGCCCACTCAACTGAATACACAAGCAAATAAAGAAAAATGTCATGAAAATAGAAAATAAAACAAAACCCATAGCTGAAGTGGAATCAAACCTGCCTGGGGGTTGGGGAGCTGGCTGCAGCGGCAAGTGAGGCATGCCACAGGTAATGTGAGGGAAGCCCCCCCCTCCCACCAAGAGGTACAGCCATGACAAATACAGATTAACAGGAAAGAGTATGGTGGGACCAGAAGACAGTCCACAGAAGAGGGGAAATGGCAGGATCTTCAGGGCTTAGAAAAGGGGCGCCTCCTTCCACAAGAACCATGCAAGGCTGTTCCCTAAACTTGTGAAGTCTCAGCAGGTCACACCATCTGCCGTGCTGACAGACAGCACCTGGCCGGGCACAGGGTCTTTGAAAGCTAGCCAAGGCCACTGCTTCTGCAGGAGTAGGGTGTCTCTCTCCTTAGAAATGTATATGGGTCGGGACTAACCAAATAAGTAATTAGACTCCTAGAGGAGGAAAAACTGTTGTTGTTTTCTCTGTCTCGGCAACCTAACAAGTCAGAGTGCAGTAATGACTGCCCTCAACCTACTCACAAACGAGCTGGAAAGCGTAAAGACTCCAAAACACAATGCGAGTCCCTGAGCCAGAGCTCTGTTTACCTGGGCCTCCGGGGGCCTCTGCACGTACATGCACGCACACGTGGGCGGGAGCGTGAACTTTCCAGAGAGGGGAAGAGAATGGACCTAGGGTGGGGCCCGGTTGGGCTGGAATATCCTGCAAGGCCCTCAGAGCCCCAAGGGGACGTGTCCTGCCCCACCTCAGCCCACACAGGTGCTCAGGGCTCGAAAGCCCCTCTGAGGGCAGCAGAGGTGAGCACGGACTTTGGCGTCACACCCCTCCTCTTTCTCCAACACAGTGCCACCAGACCTGAGGTGTCGGCGCAGTTTCAAAGGAAGGGGGACCAGATGTGGGGATAAATCAGTCCCCATCAACAGCCCTGGAAGTTGGTTCTTGGAGACAGGAAAATACCACCCAGAGCCCATAATTAAGGCTTCCTAAGTAGGCCATGCGCTCAGCTTTTCCTCAGCTCTCTGTCCCAAATGAGGGATTTCTGGAGGGCCGACACATAAGAAAATCCAGACTCGAAGCCTCCAGGCTCTGTCTTCCTATCTAAGTTTCTCCGCACACAAGGCAGTCATTTTAGGTGACTCTCAGGACAGTCCTCCGGCACGAGGGCTTTTCAGTGCCAGCGTGGGCAGCTGGGCTCTGCCAGGGGCTGGGGCTGGAGGCGGTCCCTTTGAGTGGCTCTCCTGGGATGGAATAGATGCTTTAAAAGGAAAAAACGGTATCTGGCCTAAAATAAAAGTGACTTTTCCATCTGTGTCATGGAAGAAGCTGTTTTTTTCAAGGCTGTACTCCCGGCACTGGTGACACGGAATGAGAAAACCACACGTGTCCTAAGCACTCTTACAGCCACTTGGCCAGCGCCAGCCATTCCGAGCCTGGCTCCCAATCCCCCTTCTAGGCCTCCATCGCTCATGCCGACAGTGAAGCAGGCACCCTGGCTCTTGTGCCTGTCACCTCACCCCAGGTCGGGTGTCTACTGAGCAACACCATCTATCTCAGCCTGGGTCCTAATTTTCTGAAGTCCCACATACCTCAGGAGGAAAGGAGGCCCCAGGAAGGGGAAGAAACAGACTCTCTAAAAAAAAGGAAACTCCTTCCCAGGGAGTGTAGGGAAAGCCGGGGAACTGTCTTACTTCCCATTCCGCTTTCGTTACTTAACTTCCCTCCGCTCTTTAGTGCTCACATTTAAACTAGTTTCAGTATGACTTGCTTTTAGTCAATTAGCTTCACCTTCAGTCAGGGAAAATGTTCATTCCCTCAGCAACTGCTGACCCAACATGGCAAAGGGAAGTCACTGCTCTTGGGAGGGGACCCTGTCATCAAAGGGATCTATGTTCTCAATGAGAAAGGAAACTCCTCTAGCAAATCAGGACTTTAGTTTTTCTTTTTGTGCTCCTGGAGGTGGAATCCAGGCTCTTGCACATGCTAAGCACATGCTCTACCATTGAGCTACATTCCCAGGCTTTGAGTTCATATTTTAAACCCATGTACATTTCATCACCCCAACCACAGCGTCAGCACCGGGCACAGCCCTTCTCCCTAGTACTGACATTGCCTCTCCCGCCACCCTCCATAAATCCTGCTGTTCTTGGCGTGTCTCCCCTTTTGTTAGTCTTGAACTCGTTCCTTTGAAATCTCTCCTCCACTCTCTCTCTCTGAGACAGGATGTTACCATGTACCCTAGGCTGACCTTGAACTCTTGGCAATCCTGTCTCAGTCCCCAGTTCATTTTGCATTTGTGAATTGTGCTCTCTTCTCACTCATCTGAGTAGAGCTCTCTATCTATCCCTCTCTCTATCCCTACCTTGTGACCTGCCCTGCATGCCTCCCCGGCATCTCTGTGGGCCTCTGGCCTGCTTATTCATGGCTCTGCCTGTGTAAAGCACAGATGATGGCGTCCCCAGGTCACCTCTCCTTTCCTCTGTCCTCTGTAACACACACCAGTGCCTGGTGTCACCTAACACTACAGCATTCAAGGCCCCCACCATTCAGACTGTATTGTGCCAGACCACAGAAGCACTCATACTGGCGAGAAGAAAACAGACAAAAGCTAAACAAAACCAGCTATGCTTAAAGAACCATCGAGTCTATGTTTCTGCGGTGGAAAAGGAGTCCGGGCGGTGCAGAGGACAGCTGGCCCAGAGCTGGATCTTCCTGTCGTCGGTCTGCACTGCCCCTGGCTCTGCTCTCAAGATCAAGGTCATCTCATGGTCCAAGAAGACAACCATGGGCCCAGTTATCACATCTCAGCTCCAGGACATTTCCTCTTTCTTAACAAGCATATATCCATTGTGCAAGATACAATATTTTCACACTGTTTGGTCCGAAGCATCACTCCAGCTCCCTAACACCTTTTAGACAAAAAGTCTGGAATATTTAGTCAGGGGAGGGGGCTCATCCCAGCCCCTGGCACCCATCCTTGGAATCCATCTTTGGGCAGGAAACTCCATTTCAAGCCCCCTCCCCTGGGAGTTACCTTAGTCCAAACCCCACCTCCAAGAAAGCCTGCCTAGCGGTGACCCCTCCCCAGGGAAGGTCAGGACCACTCCCACAGGCTATTTAAACTGTCCCCCAGAGAACGAACACATGATCTCTGGGTTTTGCGTGGTCTTTCCTTTCCTCTCTTCCCCTCTCCATGCTTTCCCGGGGTCACCCGGGAGCATTGCATTAAACATAGTCATCTTTTAATTCAGTTTAATTCAGTCTGATTGACATTATTTGTGTCGTTGGAGAGGCTTGTCTTAAGAAAAACCTAACACATATATGTACATCATGTGTCAAACACACACACACACACACACACACACACACAAGATCTGTGAGA